TTATGCGTTGATGCAGCGGCCAACCACGCCAATGTTGGCGATTGAAGGGCCATTCGGAAACAAAACCCACCTTCGAGCGCCCGGAACTTGGCGAAGGTGACATGCTGGCGGAGACTCAACGTGAGGAGGATGCTCTTGACTCTTTTTCCGCGTATGATCGGCAAATTATTAGATTGATTGGTGCATTTGAGAATATTATTCGCCTGGAAGAGACTTATGATGTCAATCCCACCGCACCAGACTGGCTAAAAATTTCTCAGCTTGTGGCGCAGGTCTATCGCTACTTGCCACATGCCTTTGGATCACAAATGCCTTCTGCTTTATTTCGCGGCGCCGCTCCCGCCATGACCTCTCCTGAGCAGCGAGAAAAATACACGGCAGTTTTAAAGCTACGCATCGCACATCTTTGTCTTGAATGGATGAAATTAGCGGAGGTGACTAAAAATAATGAAGAGGATGATGAGAACAACACGAGCGATGGCAGGAACAACACCAGAATAAGAAATATTCTTTCTACACAGGAAGATGTGTTTGTGGCGGACTCTACTTTGCTTCGAAAGGTATCATCTCTGCGGAAGTGTGGTGATGTGAACTCTCTGTCAAGTGACGTCCTTTGTGCCGTTCAGCACATCGTGCCGGGAACAGATATTTTACGATCCCTGGAGGCTGTACTTGCTGAGGGTGTGGCTGATGACCGATTTGTTTCCCATGATGGGAATGGGGCATCCACGTTTTCAGCGGAGGCATCGTTGAATCTCTTCATTGCCCGGAGACTTTATGCGAGCAGTCGGGTCCGAGAGTGGGGAGAATCTCCTTTTAAAGTTAACACTTGCCCACCGACATCGGAGGATGAGGAACCCGATAGCTACTCTGTATTTGATGATGCGCGGATGTACGCTGCCGGTCAGACCGTCCCGTCTGACGAAGTCCTTCAATTAAACCGCTGGATTGCTTGTCATACTTGCCGCGTGCGGTACAACAAGTTGCACCCTTATTATTACAGCCTTTGTCACCTCTGTGGGGAATACAATTTTAATAAGAGACTTCTTACGCGAGACCTACGTGGCAAAGTTGTGCTGCTCACTGGCTGCCGCATTAAAATTGGTTTCGCAATGGCCCTCTCCCTCTTGCGGTGCGGTGCTCGACTTGTGGGCACTACCCGGTTTGTACATGAGGCATTGGCACGTTTTCAGCGTGAGGCCGACTATGCCACGTGGGGCGATCGGCTGCACCTTTTCGCTCTCGACCTCCGGGATCTTTGGTTGGTGACGCAGTTTTGTGCCTTTGTGAGGCAACACTTTCCAAAAATATTTGCCATCATTAACAACGCCGCACAAACCATTGCACGAACAAGGGAGTACACGGCTCATGTTCGTCATGTTGAGGCTTTCCCACCAGAAGAACTGCACCGCCGTTTGTACGAGGACACGAAAGCGGGGGAGTGGCATCGATTTTTTCTCTCACACACTTCGGTGACAATTGGGGAACCCCTTCGCATCGAGCACCATCCACACGAGCAGCCATTTCTGGATGATGTGAAGGCCGTGGCGAACGGCAAAGACATGGTCCATGAGGAGAACGTGACGGGCGAAAAGCAGCAGTCGATTGTCGCCACAGCCCGTACCGCCGATACGCACTCTTTAATTTTTGACCGTTATGACACTCAGACGGAAGAAAGTGACAGGCGTGAGACGAACTCATGGATGATGCGATTGGCTGAGGTGCCAGGAAGTGAGGCAGCAGAGATCATGGCCATCAACGCACTTTCGCCACTGATAATTAACGGCAAGCTAAAGCCCTGTTTGCTAAATCGGGAAGGAGATGCGGCACCAAGCGAGGAACGGTTTATCATAAACGTCTCTGCTATGGAAGGCCAGTTCTACCGTTACAAGCAGGTGACGCACCCACACACCAACATGGCGAAGGCTGCCCTCAATATGATGACACGGACGAGCGGTGAGGACTATGCTCAAGACGGGATCTTTATGAACTCCGTAGATACGGGGTGGATCACCGATGAGTCGCCAAGGTTGAAGAAAGAGCGGCGAGCGGAACAGTTGCTGTTGTGTCCACTTGATGAAATTGACGCCGCCGCACGCTGTTTGGACCTCATTTACACAAACAGCAGGGCGTACGGAAAGTTCTTCAAGGACTTCAAAGAAATACCGTGGTGAGGGGAATCGTGGCCCGCAGATTTACACGATACGTGTCAAATAAAGCAAATTAAGAAGTTTCCCGAAGGCGGGGCAGTAAAAAGGTTGCAATTACGCTAGTGGGTGAGAAAAGGTAGGAGAGGAGAGGTTTGCTTGGCATGTTGGGTACTCTGTAACACACCTTGAATATGCCTCCACAAAATTCTTGTTGCACTCTCTACACATTTTAATTATTTACGCAAAAAAATAATAATAATAATTTTTTTTTTGCCACAAGTAATCATAAGAATTAGCCGAAGGTGAGAACATACTTAAAAAATGCACAGGAAGGTACGGCCCTCCCAATCTCATACAAAACACACACACACACGTACATACATGACAAAAGCAAAACAAAAACACCATGAGTTCTGTACCACGGATATAACACAGAACCAAAAATGATAATAATAATATCTTGACAGTTCACATTCACGCGCCAAAGGAGGCTCACAGTTAAGGCAAAAAAAAAAAGAAAAAAAACTGTTGAAAATATGAAAAACGAGGAGAAAAACCAACCTTACACACAAGGAATTGTATCGCATATGAAAAGAAAACAATTGAACATTTTTTTTTTTTTTGCACCGCTGGCAAAGGAGGGTAAAAATTTAAATGCATAATTTTATATAACCCTTTTTTTCAACGTGACACACACATGGGACGCACCAAACTCCTAAAGAAAAACGAAATAAAATACAGGCAATGAGCATCATTCCTTACCTTCCATAACGACAGCGGGAAATATTCCCGCCTTATAAGACCTGATACGCCTCCTGCTGTTGACATCGGTCCACCCATGTTCCTGCCGTGGCCGTCAATACAGTGGCGATGATGCCTCCTCGAACAGCAGCAGCGACTGCGCAAAAACACCGGAGAACTGAGGGAGCCGTGCGGCAGGGTCGTGATGTGCACATGGCTTGTCGACCCCGCACTCGCGAGACGCAGCACAGAAGTAATGATAGCACCGTGCAACTGTTGCGCTACTCCTCTCTTCGCTTCTGAAAAACGGACAATGAGTGTATTTGTTTCCTTGTGCCTGCGATGCGTGGCTTAGCGGACATTTGCATGCTGGAGGATTGAACTTATGCGAGCCTGCGTTGTGGCGAGGTGGTCTGGAGGGAGGAGACGAGTCCCAGCACCGCATGCACCCACGTGCGTCTTTTGGTGCGGGCAAGGCGATGGGAAGTCGCTGTGACCCAATGGGTGCGGGGGTGTCCGTGACTGCTGTGCTGAGGGCGGGGGCGAGCGCGCTCGATGCGGCGTTCCACGCAGACGGGCCTCTCCTGTGTTTTACTATTATTCATTTTGGCTGCGGGGGAATGGCCGGGCCCTACGAGTGGGCGGCAAAACTGCCCAGCCGTGTCCTCTTTGCCCAGCTTATTGGTGTGGGGGTCCGCCCGACGCGATCCTCCCGCCCCACGCAGGAGGCGAGCGAAAGACGCACTCGGCACCTCCTTTTCGTGAGTCATGAATGATCGTGGGAGTGGGAAGTCACGCCGGACTCGCCGTGGGCCACGGAATGCGTCCGTCGCGGCCATGGCGACAGCATGACGAGGGTGCGAGGTGCTTGTATTTGTTTCCCTTGTCCTGTGCTGGAGGAAATAAAGTTGCGGACTATTTTTTTTACTTCTCTCTCCTGTGCCCTCTCCTCACTCCGTGTGCGTGCCACTGCGTAGATGGGTGATGGTACTTTTGAGTGCCTGTGAGAAGAATGTTGTCGAGAGGGCTGGCTGCCCAATTTAATATATGCCCTGGCAAAACGACGAAAATATTTGCGTGCGATCCTTTTCCTATATTATTGTCCTTTGAAAGGCCCCGATGGAAGGAGTCAAGGAATCGATAACGGCACGACGAATTTTATTTATTTATTTTTATTTTTTCCATCCACCCTCTTTGATTCCGACCTTGCGGCGGGGTCTTGTGGCTGGAGGGCCCAAAGTCTTCTAACTCGTAAGTAATAAATGTCTCCAACCCGAATACACCGCACCGTGGCACGAGAGTGCCTATCCGAATATATAGATGTAGTTGGGACAAACACTGAGGATGTGGCGATGCCGCTGCCTCTCCATGACCCTCTTCTTTCCCGTCCTATTTTATTTGTGCGTATCAGTTCGGGATTCTGTCAGCATCCCTGCAGAACATTTTTCTGTGCTTCGGCTTTATTTGGAGGCTTTGTTTATTTTTGTTGTCTGTGTGTGCGCTGCGGTAAGTTGTGGTGCTGCCCCTCTGCTCTTCTCCTCTTCCTTCTGCTTCTTCTCCCGCAGACAAGGCCTGTGCTACCACCACTACTAACAATACTAGTAACACCGCTGCCGCCCGCACCTCAGGAACAGACACGTTGTCCCCAAGCCATGCGCCAGCCACGCCACACCGCGTTGCTGCCACTGCTGCTGCCGTGGCTCATGATGGTGGTGTGTTGCGCCGGTGCTTGCGTTGCCGCCGATCGTGCCGTGAAGCACCGCTGTGGGTTTGACGCGATGATGAAGAAATACGGCCGGCTGCCGACTGCGGTGGTGCGTGAGGTGCCGCGCCGGGGACAGGGCGCCGTGCAGGCGTACACCGCCGCCAGCGAGGATGGGGACGACGGCTGGGCTCCGATCCGCATCAAGGTGTCCGCGGAGGACATGTACAATCCGTTGAGGCACTGCACTGCGCCGGGGGATCTGCGCATTGACCACGACGGCCGCGCAATAACATGCGGGGCGGACGACGTGTTGACGGAGGAGAGGAGGAAGATTATTCTGAGGCAAACTCTCCCCGCCGCCATTCAACTGCACGCGGAGCGTCTCTCCGTGAGGCCCGTGACGCGCCCCGTCGTTATTCCGCGTACCGGACTGGGGATGTGCAATAACTTCACCATCCCACACAAGCACCACACGGTGGGTGTGGTTGGTGCCGACATGATTCTCTACGCCAATATTTTTCCGACTTCTGGTCCAGCCGCGTGGGCGGCTTTGTGCGTTCGGCTGGATGATGGTCGTCCATTTGCTGCTGCCGTGAACTTTGACCCGAAGCAAATATTGGTGCCAAATGGAGACGTGCGTGTGGCAGCCCACGAGTTGGGGCATGCTCTTGGGTTTGATGTTGATTATTTTGTGACGTTACATATGATTTCCGAGGTCCCGAACGTGCGCGGGATGTCCAAGGTGTCGGTGATTTCAACGCCGAACACGAAGGCGATGGCGCGTCAGTACCACAACTGCTCCACGCTTGAGGGCATTGAGCTGGAGGACGAGGGCGGTTCTGACGGTTCACTGTCGCATTGGAAGAAACGCAACATGAGGGACGAGATGATGACCAGTGATGTGGGGGTTGGGCTGTACTCGGCACTGACGCTTGCAGCGTTTGAGGACATGGGTGTTTATTTGGCAAACTACAGTGCGGCGGAGATGTTGTGGTGGGGCAACAACTCTGGCTGTGGGCTGCTGGAAAAGAAGTGCTTGACCGACGGCATCACCGAATACCCTGATCTGTTCTGCAACCAGGTTGACAAAAATGTTAAGTTCTTCTGCACGTACGACCGTCTGTCCCTGGGGCGCTGTGACCTGAAGAGGCACGAGGAAGCCCTGCCACAGGAGTATCAGTACTTCGCTGATCCCCGTGTTGGCGGTGATGACCCCTTCATGAGCAGATGTCCGTATGTTGAGGCGTATTCTAATGGTGGTTGCACCAACGGCGACCCTTCAGTAATGCCTGGCAGTGTCGTTGGCCCGAACTCGCGGTGCGTAAAGGGGCAGGACCTTCAATTCGACGACAAATACATTGGCGATGTGTGTGCGGAAACTCGATGCGGCGACGGCACAGTGAGCGTGCGGTTCCTTGATGACGATGCGTGGCACGAGTGCCAGGCGGGTGAAACCGTCACGCCGCCATCGGGTCCCTGGCGTGGGAGCATTGTGTGCCCCCAATACGCCGATGTTTGCACCGCCTTCCCGAACATCAGCAGCTACCCAATACCGGTCGTTGACCCACCTCTAGCGGACGACCCGACATCCGCGGAGGGTGCGGAGGGAGACGGGGGTGGGGTTCCGAGGAAGCGGCCGCGGCGACTCTGATTCCGGGGCTCTGCCGCCAATAAATTAATCGGCCAGCGTGGATTGTGGGACGAGCGGTACTGCGATGGTGGCCGGCGTGCGGCAGGGTCGTGATGTGCACATGGCTTGTCGACCCCGCACTCGCGAGACGCAGCACAGCAGTAATGATAGCACCGTGCAACTGTTGCGCTACTCCTCT